GGGGGGGGGGGGGGGGGGGGGGGGGGGGGGTACTCTGCGGCCAGTTAGGCTATGTTTTTCGGGATTTTTGTCTTAAACAGGGTATCGAATTTATCATTTTTTAATGAATCAGGGTATCGATCTATCAATTTTTGTCTTAAACAGGGTATCAAAAATCGGAGTTCTGTCTTAAACAGGGTAGGAAAATCAGCGATATTTGTCTTAAACAGGGTCAGGGTATGAGGGGCCGCGCCGCACCTCCCCATCCAGGGATATATCGAGTACCCCCCCGGGATCAGGAGCTCCTGCTACTGTGACGTCCCTAGTGAAATGTGTTTCCCCTACCTGGGAACACATATCTGTTCGGGAGAACACATATCACTGTGAAGTCACAGTGATATAAGTTCCACCGTGATATGCATCCCCCTGAACTCATATCCAAGATATATGTTTCCAGGGTAGGGAAACACATATTATTAGGGACAGGAGCCCATGACTAGGTTGGGACAGGAGCCTATGACTAGGCTCCTGGTGAAAGCTATTTCCTCCTAATGTCGATATCTTGCGAATCGCACTTTAACGATTGATCTTCCCTTTGAAGGTAATCGCGATTCACGAATATGGGAAATGTTTGCCTGTGGAATCAGAAATCCTGGGCTTCGGCATCCTAAATTTTGCTCGAGGAATGCAGAATCTCGTTGACAATTGGAATACGGAATCCAAAAATTAAGTTTCAGTTCCAGGGGGGAGATGAAGGACGTACAGCGACACAACCATTTAACAACTTTCATAGAAAAGAGCTTTTTAAAACCATAGACACGTTATATGGAAAACAGGTATCGTTCTATACACTTTGCAACCTGTGGGTAAAATAAGTGTAAAATAAGTCTTATTTCACTAACCTTGAGGGCCGGCTACGCCATGTTCGCCTTTTCCCCCGTCTGTTCCTTCTCCTTTTGCGTCCAGTCCGGCGTAGAGAAGACCAGAGCTGACTCCCTTGGGATGCAATAATCTCCCTCACGTATATTTCATAGTTTTTACGCCGTGAAAGTTAATCACGCCCTGTAATAGAACAACGTAAGGTCCAAACTCTATTAAGTACAGCAGTGAAAACAGACTGAAATAGACTGCCGGATAGTTCGTGGCAAAAAACGTTTTTTAAAACTCTCTTCACAAAATTAGCAAAATAACGTTCTTAGAGCCAGTCGTAAGCGGTCCAGGTCGGAACCTAGGATCCAAAATGTGTAAATAGAGAGTATGCATAGATGAGGTAATGTTGTAAATAACGACAGGTACTTCAAAATCTTTTTTTCAGCCTACTGGTCGTCAAGTCCAAGTAAGAATAGAAGGTCAAACAGCCACAATGCTACTGACTTTGTCAAATACTTCTTAGCAAAAGGCAAAGTAAAAAAGCCCACATTTTCAGGAGCGTAGCGTGAGATTTGGAAGGTGTACGCACGGCAAGAAAAGTTAGAGCGCCAAAGGCGCTTCAAAATAGGGTAGTCTAGGGGCAATCCCCCCACCCCCTCCAAAAAAAGAAATTTATATTAACGGTCCCGCAAATGTCATTTCCGCGTTTTCCGATGGACATTTTCAGTAAATGAATACAAATGAAAATGCGGTGGAAGGGCAGGGAGGAGCATGTATTTTTTGTTTTACTCCCCAATACTACGTTTTTGCCAACTCGATGGAATAGTAAAAGGATGAAGGAAACACTAACTCAAAAACAAAAAGTTATCAGTCATCCCGATCTTATGATAAGGGAATATGTGCTAATATGGACGCTTATTTTGACAGGTCCCGTGACATTGAATTTGATGATTCATTCGATTTCTTTGTCAAAAAATGCTCTTTCATTTGCATTTTACTGAAGAAACAGCCCAACTCCGTCTTATGGTAGGTAAAATGCTACCCTGGTGCCAGAGTTCTTTTTTCTTTCTTGAAAATTTTCCCGCATTCATTTAGCTCAAATAGCGAAAAGTCTTAGTTTTCCTTATTTCATTGCTATTTCATTACCAGTTCAATTTTTTTTGGATCAATCAAGATTGTAGGATGGCCAGAAAATCTCTTCCAAACGTTTCCCAGTTTTGCTTTTATTTTATTTTATTTTTTCACCTAACCAAGCCCAATTCGTTGGGATATTTAGCAAAAACTTTGGTGATAGTCTGACAGGCTGTTATGGTTAGATAAATGATATCTGCATGAGTGGCGTGGTACCGGCCAATCAAAGGCAGGGCTAAACGCATGTTATTGCATAGAACAGTACCAAGAGGAGATCAGTTTGACTGTTCATTGTGTTTTATTATAAGTATCCTTGAGCTCAAGCAAAAAATCCTTTAACAATTTGTAAATTATTCATATCAATCTAAGTTATTGGTAATATCCAAGATGTCGGCCGACAATGTGTCAGCCATTTTGAATGACGTCAAAAGGATAAATTTGAATTTAAATTTGAATAAGGAATAAATTTGTAAATTATTCATATCAATCTAAGTTATTGGTAATATCCAAGATGGCGGCCGACAATGTGTCCGCCATTTTGAATGACGTCAAAAGGACTCCATGGTATCATTACCCATAATATTCACAGCATTTTATTCAGCTCATCATTGGCTATCTATTAATAGATATAAATATATATATAGGTACATATAAAAATATATATCAAGTACATCAAACACTCAATAGAGAGGGAAGTGACTATAGTCAGTGGGGTTATGGATGCGGTTGTGAGTTCCAGGTTTTAAAGCCGATTCTTGATGAAACTTTTGTACTAGCTTTTTCTTGAAATGATCCATAAGAAACCGACAGCGAATGAATTAATTTTTTTTGGTGATAATTAAGATTTCTCAAACCCAGACGGCAGCGTTCTTTTTTGTTGATGTGCCTGTTTCAGCACTAAAAGATGGAAATACAGGCCAAGATTCATTCGCTCTCTCTAATTTCCCATCAAGACGAGTACTCCAAGTGTTATGTACTATCCGACAAATGCCCACTTAAGTTGAATAATCCGTCTCTACCGAAAAAACGTCCAGAGTAAGTTTTTAAGGTGATACATGTTCAGAAGCGAAACTAAGAGACATAGACAAAGCGACACCACTGGGGAAAAGAAATGATGTCTTGAAAAAAATACGCTACAGGTATAGGATCTCATTTTAAGAAGAATTTATCGACGCCTTCTCGATCTGCTTGCTTATTTGTTTGCTTGTTTGTTTGACAAATTTCCATGTATGTTTAAATCCACGGTATTCCCTTCTCGGCACAAGTAAACAAACTGTTAAAAGGAAATAAAACACAGATAAAGAGTTAAGACTCNGTAGGTGTGGTTTAAAATTTTTACCCTTGATCTATTGAATAATAGCTGAAGTAAATTAGGTTAAAAGCTTTCAATGTGAAAATTTCAAGTTCATTAGTATTATTAATTTAAAATTAATGTTTATCCTGATAACTAGCATTTCATGCTGCCATTTATTTCGCTCCCTCCTTTACCTCGGAAGGAAAATTTCTAATTAACTTAATTGTCCCTTCAAGAAGGAAATTCTGAATAGACATCAGGTTTCGAAGTTAACGCTTATGAAGTCACAATAGTGCCATTTATACGAGGAAAAATAAGACGCGTCTTAAATAAGACGCGAACTGTACCATTTATACGAGCATGTCTTATCTAATAAGACGCGTCTTAGCTAAGCCGCGTCTTATTTTAGACGAAATGTGCCGTTTATACTGAAAGTTTGCGTCTTATTTAAGACGCGTCTTATGTAAGATGCGTCTTATTTTTCCCCGTATAAATGGCCCTGATATGGTATGCCTGTGGCTACTTGAACAATCCAGACAGTGACAGTAGAAACAGCAAATCGTTGTCCCATTTTCAGGCAAAGGCAGGGCCTCACTAAAAACCGCTTGGGTGAGTAGGCTTTCTGCATGATGATTATAACGATGATGATTCATTTCCTCTTATTTATTTTTTGCTTTTTCTAGGAATGTTGATCGTTTTCGTGTTAATATTATATATGCCGGCGACTTTGACGATGCAGACCAAACTCAGAAAAAGAGACGCAACGACTAATATAGGTCAGTCTCAAAATTTATTGTTTATCACTACCTTAAAAAATCCATCTTGGCCTAAAGATGTTGCAAGTGGCCCAAACCATCTAGTATAATTGCCTCTAAGGAAATTTCTGGTATTCTGAAGAACATTTTGAAAAACCAAAGAGACAAAACATTAAAAAAACAAACAAACAGACAGACAAACATGTAAACACTCAAAAAACGCCCGGGGATTCTTTGAACTGTATACTTTTCTAGTCAGCTGTGTTCCTTTGTAAAAAGATTTGAAAGATCCAAGTAACATCAAAGGGGAATTTCACAGGCGCAGGGCACAACGTTTTTGTATTTGCTGGAAATGGTGCAATCAGACTGAGCCTTGAAAAAAACAAAAATGTGTTCATGTACACATGTAGTCTAATAAGAGCGCAAGAATTCATTAAAATGGGACTTTTTCATTCTCGGTAGAACCTTTAAAATACCGAGAGGCGTTAGGGATGGAAAATGGTGATATGTCAGACGGTCAGCTAAACGCCTCCACGGAAGGTGAAGGAATTTTTGACGGAGAGCTATTTCTCTATTCCGCAAAAAATGGCAGACTTAATCGTCGCAACTGGAAAATGTGTTGGTCACCTTCCACAAGCGATGGAAATCAATGGTTTCAAGTGCACCTTGGTCAATCCAACACTTTCATTACCAGTATAGCAACGCAGGGATGCCCATTTTCGACAGAGTGGACTGCTTCCTACAAGCTGCAATATGGTGACGATGGAGTACATTTCCAATACTACAAGGAGAGGGGACAAAATAAGGAAAAGGTGAATCATTCTTGGAACACAGTCTGGTATCCTACTAGCCTGCGTAGCAGGCGCTTGGAAGTAGCGGTCGAAAGAGAGAACGGGCGCGCGCGAGGGAGACACGCGAGGGGTGAGGGAGCTACCTCTCCCCTCGCGTGTCTCCTTCTCGCGCGCCCGTTTTTTCTTGTGCCCACTAGTCCAAGCGCCTGCTACGCAGGCTAGTATCCTACTCAAAAGATTCTTGTGATAAACTAAGTGCTCTGGGACATAAGAACTGTCTCTTCATCATTTAACCATTTATAACAATCTCTTGTATAGGTCACAAACATGATTTAGAACAGTAAGGGAATAATGCATTAGTGTATTACTTTAGTTTTATTGGCGACAAAAGCGAGATAAATCTACACACGTTTTTTCTTACAACCATCAGATAATTGCAAACGGGTTTGTGTTGCAGGTTTAACTAGGAATCAATCTATAACTTGATGGAAAACGGGTGGAAATAACTGATTGTTAACAGGATTGATTAGTTCCCTTTCATCAAAACTCCTGAGCCCACCCCTGTAATTCCCTCTGTGAATTCTAGTACAGCAATTGCGAAATGACGATTTTGACCTTCCAGATTTTTAGTGGAAATACAGATTCAGACACTGTTATCACGCACGACCTTGATCCACCAATAACTGCGAAGTATCTCCGCTTTCGACCAATCACCTGGGGGAGCCGCATAGGAATGAGGGCGGAGGTATACGGCTTTAAAGGTAATAATACATGTTGTTCAATAAATTCTATGAAAAATACTTGACGATAAAACGTTACCCGCTGTGCTTATTCGTAAAACAAAGGATCAAGTTATTATACTTAGTGTCATCAGAAACTTACTGACGAGACCGATGATTTAATTTAGCTGTGTTTCTCTAGGTCATGCACTCAGCAAGTTAGCTTAATTTGTTGAAGTGCAATGAATGTTCAAATAGTTTCTATTATAACTGGATTTAATTTTTAATGTTAGTAACAGCCAAGTACAACATCGTTTTCCTCTAGAAGCTTTTAATAATACTAGGCGGAAAAACTATTTTAAGTTATTAGTTTAGGGCGAAAACTTTTGTATTTCCAAAAAAATTGAAGCTCTCTCAACGAAATTTGTTCCAAAAAGCCTTTTTTGTAAGAAAAACAAACAAACAAAAAACAAAAACAAAAACGAAACAAACAAAAAAAAGACAAATCCTACAATATAAATTCCATTAGGCAGGCCCTACAGCTGTGGAGACTAAAGCATGATATCCCAGACAATAAACCTGCCTGAAACTGGAAACTAACTAAGAGTAAAAGTTCTAAATTAGCATGTATAGATGCTCTCGGCATGGAAAGCTAGTGAAGCAATTACAGATGATCAGTTCACAGCGTCTTCAGACGCTTCAGGACTTCCCTTGTCAGACTGAAAAAAGTAAAAACTGGACCTGATAAGGGACACAGTACATGCTTTATCACTTGTTAAAAACTCGAGTGCGAAGCTGTTCGTGGCTGTTCGTGGGTTAAAAAATTCAATACTTGTTCAGGTATGATAAAACTTGTCGTCTGCAGATGCGTCTGAAAATGTCCCGAACGAAGAGAAGCAATGTATAACGAGCAAATGGAAAGGTCAGAAGAAAGTGCTAAATCCAAATATCCCGAAACTAACATGGCTCTTAACACCTTCAATAGTGCAAACCACACCAGGTATGATGGAGAAATCTCCATTTTTTCTAATAATCTCTTACACGTGCTCTAACTCCGTTTTCGCTTCCATGACATTTCTTTTGTCATTGGACAGATTTAGTCAATCCCG